GGGGGGAGGGGGGTGGGGAGAGGGGCAGCTGCTTTTCTGGCAGGGGCATGGGTGCCAGGTACAGCGCAGAGCTGGGCCGAGCATGCCGAGAGCCTGGGGGACCCGACGCCGGCCGGGATTACGCCTCTCTCTCTGTGTATATATATAAAAATGAGTCCCTCTGTACATGTATTTAACCGTGGGTACACGTGCGTGTGTCTGTGCGTGTGTCCGTGCGTGTGTACGTGTGGTCTGCATGTGTATGTGTGGCGCGGGCAGAGCGAGTGCGCGCCCAGGAGGCAGTGGGAGCCTTGTCTGTCTCGTGACTTCGTACCTCTCAAGCCCCTCTTTGTACTACACTGAACGCTGGCACTTTGGCACTTTGGCGGAGTTGGAAACAAAGCCAGACATTAAAGATCATTTCTCCTGTGCGGCTGTGAGTAATTTGTGATGGGGTGTGGGCTGGGGGGTGGCAGGCAGGGTCTGGTGGGTCCTTTTCTTTCCCCTGCAAGTGTGTCCCAGTCCCTCTGGCCTTGCTGTGGAGAATAGTTGTGGGGGCCCCATGGACTCCATTTCTGCCTTTGCTATTACTGCCCCCACCACCCCCACTCCCCAGCTAAACAGATCTGGCCCTGTGGCTGCAAGTGACCCCTTGCACTTGTCCCATAAATCCTGCTTGTCTGCCTTTGACTCAGCAATATCTAAATCCTCCTGCTGTGGGCTGCACTGGGCAATGTCTGGCCTAGCCCTGACCAATTGGACCCCAATCCTGGACAGGACCCTAGGTGGGTCTGTCACCTGGGAGGGATGGGACCCAGCAGAGAAGTGGGCTGGTTTCCTTCACCTCTTCCCGGCAGCCCTAGGCCAAACACTCCATTATTTGCCTGTGCCCACAGAACCTGAAAAAAATCCAGACCGCAGAATTTTCTGGATAAGATATGGATCCATGTGGCCAAGCAACACACCTGGGCACAAGATCCCTCCTAAGCTCTTCCAACTGACGGCTGCCTGGGAAAGAAACACTGAGGAAAGTCACACAGAGGTGGGTCACCTCAGAGAAGGTAACCTCCATTCTGGCATCAGGCCTATTACTGTACGACCTCCAGAAAGTCACACCCCCTCTCTAGGTCTTGGTACCCCCACCTCTGTCATGATGGGGTTGATTCCAAGGTTTTTCCTACTTCTAAAAGCCCCCAGTTTGCTAAAAGAATAAAGGGTAGGGAGCATTTTTCTTACGTGCAATTCAAAAAAAAAAAAAAGAAGCATGAGGAATATCCATTCCCACCTCAATTGCTTTTTCTCACTGCTTTCCTTTTTCTAGGTTGAGCCTCATGATTTTTTCAAATGGCAAGGGCCTCTTACAATAATAGTAAATCTATCTGGGGTCTCAATCGATCTTGTATTCTATAGGCGACTGAAGTAGAAAATGCTTTCAGAGAGGAGAGAGAGTTGTTCATGTAGCTGAAAAAAAGTGAGGGGTATCAGGCATGGCTGGATCCAGGGGCTTAAACAAAACGTATGGGCTCTTGCTCTTTTATCTAGCTCTGCTTATCTTTATACGTTGCCCTTGTTTCCTTTCTGCAAATAGCTTTCTCATATCATTCTTACTACTTGAACATCCCTTCCCCCCAAAAAAGAAGATTTCCCAGCAGTTCTGCCAACAAAAGAAAAAGAAAAAAGTCCTGGGAAGCTAAAGGTTCTTTATCACAGTGTGCTTTAAGACTCTGATGAGAACTACATACTTACAGAAAAATTCACATACAAAAAAAAATTTACATTTTCATGTCATTTCAGATGACTCGCCCCTGTTTAAGATCTGATTAACTAAGCCTGATAGCCCAGATCCCCAGGTTATTTAAGCTAAACTGCATTTTCAGAATTATGTAGGCCAAGCCCTCATCTCTACAGAGGGGGAGACTAAGATGAATAATGTGACCACATCACACTAAACAGGACCCAGTACCTTTTACAGTCCCGTGCGTTGCCAGCTTGGAGTTGAGTGCATCATCCAACAGGAAGCAGGTCTCTTCTCGCCCCTGTAAAGAAAGAGGAGCCTGAAACCAGTTCCCAGGGAAGAAGAAGTTTGGGGAATCCTCTGAAAATACTTCGTTAGCAACACAAATGTTTCAAACCAGCATTATACAGAATCCTGATGTAGGTGTGGCCAAGAGTGAAGTGGGCCACTTCTTTCTCCACCTCCTCCTCAGTCCTTGCCTCTGGCCCTCCCAAGCACCCTAGAACTCCACACAGTGCGGTTTGAAAACTACTAGTCCAGTGCAAGTGAATAGGACTGGGAATCAGTGGGGCCTGGGTTCAAGTTGGCACTCTTCGTGACCTTGAGCACTCACCTTGCCTTTTCTGGTCCGTTTCCCCATCTGTCAAATGGATGTGACCATCACAGTCCCCCAGGACGCCAAAAGGAGTCAATGAGATCATTGTGGCATAAACGCTGAGCTGTAAATCACTGGGCAGACGCAAGTTATAATTTGGACCTCAGATATCTGAAGCCACAGGCACCAAAGGCATTTCCTGAGCCACTCAGTTCTGATGACCTCACGCATTACTGGTACTTGGAGGCCACACAGGCAGCAGAGGGAGGCAGTGGCAGCCTCCTGCCTCTTTCCAGAAGGGAGGTTTACCAGGTGTGGCTCGAATCCCCAAAAAATGCTGTGTTCCAGATCTACCCCCAGCCAGACCCTGCATTACACTGACCTCTCCAGGTCATCTCCCAGTGGTCAGGCCCAGGAGGGCCCACAGTTCAAGAGCTCTGGGGCAAACAGGTCCTCTCTACTCTAGTTGGCAGCAAAGCAGCCCTTCTTTATTCTCCCAGGCCACGCAAGCACTGCTGAGTCATTTGTTGTCACTGAGGCACAAGGACACATCTGCCAATCAAAGAGGTAAGTGGTTCGGGAAGGTGTGATAACTGTTAATCCTCCAGAATCGGGCTCAAATCCCACCTCTGCCATGTAGTAGCTGTGTGACCTCGGGCAACTCATGACCTGGGTCTAAATCTTAGTTTCCTTAACTAATAAATAAGGGTAATAATAGTACCCACTTCATAGGGACATTTGGAGGGTCAAATAAAATCATGAGGGTAAAACACCATGCCAGTCACTTGGATAACATCCGACAAACAGTAGCTATTAGCAGATTAATTATTCAATTATTTACTTTGATATCAAAAGTTTAGAAAATCTGAATAAAAAACAAATTCGGTGGTTGTTTTTTTTTTATCAAATTCCAGTGTTTTAGGACTCAGGGTCTACCTTGAAGAAAAAAGACACAAGCTTATGACAGTACAAGAATTTTGTGTCCTACAGTGTGAAGAAACATATTACTCAAAGAGGTGATCAACCTAAACTAAGGGTAAACATGAAATTTAGTAAAAGTTATGAGTTTGTTATTCCCTAACAGATTACTAGAAACAAAGGGAAGACTGGTGATTTCTACTTGGTCTGCCCCTGGAATTCACTTTCATAACCGTTACCCTCGTACCTAACTGGTACCCAGCAATGTTCGTTCTCTCTCGACAGAGCTGGTAAAATGCGGGGCAAGGTTTGAGGTCTGGCACCTACTGGCCTTGAGTTGCAAAGTAAACAGAGGGCATGATAGGAAAAACATAGAAAATTGGGCCAGGAAGGATATGCTTTGTGGTTTCATTGTTTTCCCCCAGCTTTACTGAGGTATCATTGATAAATAAAAATTGTACTAGTATATGTTTAAGGTTACAATGTGATGTTTTGATATACATATACATTGTGAAATGGGACTGCCACACTCCAACCAATGAACATACCCATCACCTCACGTAGTTACCTTTTTTTTGTGGTGAGAATGTTTAAGATCTACTCCCTTAGCAAATTTCGTTTGCCATCCAGTGCTGTTAACCACTGTCACCATGCTGTGTGTTCGGCCTCCAGAAGCTGTTTGTCCCACATGATGGAAACTTTGTACCTTTGGCAGCTCTTCCCTCTTTCCCCCTTCCCAGCCCCTGGCACCCACCATTCTACTCTCTGCTTCTATGAGTCAGTGTTTTTAGATCCCACATGTAAGTGGTGTCATGCAGTACTTGTCTTTCTATGTCTGGCTTATTTTACTTGGTATAATGCCCTCCAGGTTCATCTACATTGTTGCAAATGGCAGGATTTCCTTTTTTTAAGCCTAAAAATATTTTAAATTAGGACAGGCAGCTTTCTGCTGCTCAACCTTGAGGACCTCCGAAGTTTGTTTAGGGTTATGTTAGTTTGCTAGGGATGCCATAACGAAGTGCCACAGACTGATGGCTTAAACAATGGTAATTTGTTATTTCACAGTTGAGGCTGCAAGTCCCAGATCAAGGCGTTGGCAGAGTTGATTTCTTCTTAGGCCTCTTTCCTTGGCTGATAGATGGACGTCTTCAATGGGTAACTTCATAATCTTTCGTGTGTGTGTGTGTGTGTGTGTGTGTGTGTGTCCAGATGTCCTCTTCTTATGAGGACAGTAATCATACTGGATTAGGGCCCACCTGATGACCTCATTTTACACTATTTACCTCCTTAAAGACCCTGACTCCAAATACAATCACATTCTGAAGTACTGGGGGTCTAGGACTTCAACATATGAATTTGAGGTGAAGGGGGGCCTGAGGGGGACACACAAATCAGCCCATAACAAGGATCAATATCTCAGAACCTTGGGACTAAAGTCTTAATGTTAGAGGGCACATCAATGAGGTAGGCATTAGTATTGTCTCATTTTTAGGCTTAGAAAAGTTTAAGTAATAGTCCAAGACGGTATGACTTCCAGTTGGAAGAGACAAGGATTTGAATCGAAGGGCCGACCGACCTTGCTCTGCACACTCCTAGCCTGGATAAATCTCTGTATGGAAGGAAGTTCTTCTCACCTTCTTCAAGGGCCCTTCTCCCCCACCCCACCCCACCCCAACTCTGCCCTCTCTCTGGTCTGGGACTTTAGAAAACAAAAGCCAGGAAACCTCGCAACTTCTGAATCCCCTCTGTTCATGCCTCACCTGAAACTTTGAAGCACAAAGCCTGCTGCCTGCTTGAATGAAGGGAACGTGATGGGGGTTGGGGATAGAAACATGAATGAGCAGCACGAAATACCATCCAGCGGCCCTACCAAAGGTCCCAGGGATCCCCATCTGAAGGGTGAATCAGTACTGAGATGCTTCCTGTATGTGCATGCTGCCTCGACCAGGTGTGGAGAGGGCCAGTGCATATAGCTAATGCAGCTCCACCCCCCCTGCCACCTCCCCCCCATCACCACCACCACCACCACCACCACCACCAAGCTCTTGCAGAGCAGGAGCTCATGCAGGGTTGAGGCGGCCTCCTACTTCCCCTGCTGATTCCCAGGTGGTCCTTAGAACACTGTGCTTGAGCATGCACCCCCTCAGGAAAAGGACCACGTTTTACTCCCCCTCGAGATCCCCTGCGGGGACCCACTTGGCTAAACACTGAGATGGAAACGCTGGTTCCCCCTCCCACGGGGCCAGTGTTGTAAGCAGCTCAGGGAGCCTGTTTCCAGAAATCCAACGGCAGTTGCTTTCGGGCTTTTTCAATCAGGGGAGGTTGCCGTTTCCTCCTTTTACAGGCTGGTGCAGATTGGTGTCCAGTTTGTTTTCTTCCACCGCCAGAAGCTCTGACCGCGGGGCCGGCAAAGAAGATGCAGCACAGAAGACGAAGCCTTCCTCTTGGAGCGGAGCGCGGCATCCTTCCTCGGTACGTGCGGAGCGTGGGAAACAGTTCTGTAGACACCGCAGTGACCGAGGCGGCTCCGCGCCCCCTTCCCTCCGCAGGTGCTCCGAGCGGGACAGACTCGGCCTTCAGGCGGACCCAGGCGCCACCTGCTGTCCGGCGCGCCTAGGCGACTAGGAACAAAGTTGCTTTGCAATTCAGCTTGCGCTGCTCTGTCCACTTCCTCGGAGCCCCCATTGGCGTTTCAGCTGCAGCCAGACATTCTAGAAATCTGGGTTAAGAAAACTTAGCTTGGTGTTACTAGTATGTGCTGGCTTCAGGGGATCTGGGAACCTCCTGAACAGTGGGCAGAAGGTAGCACCTTGGAAGAGTGCGGTACAGCTTTCATGAGTCGAACTGCTATTTTATGATCTGGGGACTATGTGCCCAGCAACGTGCAAGACATTGGTAGTCAGTGGTGACCAAGCAGACAGGTCACTTCTCCTCTTGGACCTTACCTGAAATTTACTATAGTCTGTAGTCGGCTGGATAAGGGCCTCCAAAAATGTGCACCTCCTAATCCCTGGACTCAAAAATGTTACCTTTCCTGGCAAAAAGGACTTTGCACATGTGATCCAATTGAAGATCTGGATAGAGCTGAGCAGATTACCCCGGGCTATCCCGGTGGACATCATGCATCACAGTGTCATTCTAGCAAGAGGGACACAAGCCGAGGCAGAGACAGCCAAAAGGTGATACGTGGCAACAGACCCGGAAGGATGGAGAGACAAACATTTGAAGATGTTGCGTTGCTGACTTTAAAGATGCAGAGAAGAGTAGCATGACCCTTGGGCAACGATGACACACACACATTCGTGATCCGTTCCATGTTTACAAAAATAAAAATAAAGCTGTGGAAAGAGGGCCAGGACCCAAAGGATATCGACAGTGTCTGGACCCTGGAAAGGGCGAGGAAACAGATTCTCCCCTGGAGCTGCCAGAGGGACCTGCTGTCACGTTGACTTGAACTCGGGGAACCTGCTCTCAGGCTCCCAGCCTCCGGAACTGTCAGAGAAGGCATTGTGCTGTTCATGCCTCTAAGCCTATAGTGATTTGTTTCAGCAGCAACAGGGAACCAATACACATCTCAGCAGGCCTCAGACC